TAAAATGAGCAGGTTTTCATGCTGAGGCTCTCCAAGGTCAGTTCAGTAGCATCCATACAAATTGCTGCATTAACTTCAGGAGCTTAAAGGTAAGCACATCTATAGTTACATACCAAAGGGCTTTCATGAGCTCCAGTAAAATGAGTCCCAAACAACCTGTGTAAGTGGCTAGCTAGAAGTTCATCTTTCAGAATGAATAAATGGCATATGGAATGACTTAGGCCTTTTTTCGCCCTGCATTTACTCCATACAATTAAGAATTTAGATTCCCAATTTAGATTTTAAAAAGGAACTAATTTTCAGACAACATAGTCCTGGCAGCTCTTCTTTTCCTTTCTGAATACAGGTATTGCCACACTGGTGAATATCTAGCTCTATACCAGCAGCTTCAGAGGAAGTTGCAAAAGACACTCTAATATCTGACTAATTGATTTCACCCAGTGGAAAACTTTTATCTGAATTCTCCTCCTTGTTACTAGGAATGGCAAATCGTTCTCAGAATAAAGCTGGACTCCAGGTTTCAATTACACTACATGTCAGAGGGCACCAGTGGTTAACAAGACAAGATTTTGAAATGTTCTTTAGTTTGTCTCCTTATCTTTATTATAAACATATTCCTTACCTTCCAGTAACGCTAGGCTTCCTAATGAAACAGAAAAAGGTATCATTATCTGTATCACTTTACTAATTTACAAAACCTTACTATTTCCTCTATTCATCTCTTTTCCTGTCTGTGCAATACAGCTCACTGAAATCTCTCTCCTCTCTGCCCCTGTTAATGTATTGATTTGTCACTGCACTTCCTCTGTTTCCACTAGATAGCTTGAAGGATGGGTGTCTGAAACTTAGCAATGTTCCAAAAGGATAATATAGGATATTTTCAGAATTTATTTTCTGCTATGCATTACGTTATAGTTGAGGTTACTGAGGGACTTTAACTGGTTGTATTTCTCTTCAGAAGACTGCAGTCTTGGAGTCCTGAGAATTCCTTTCTGTGTGCATTAATTGCATTTACCAATATGAACAGTGAACCTGAACCCTCTCCCTGGTTTTACCTTTAGGGTATAACCTAGATCTGCTTGGTCTTTGTTATCTTTCAGTAATATATGCCTGTTTGACTGGAAAAAGTACCAGAAGCCATGTACACCTATGCTTGCATGAGTACTCATGGCCCTTATATAACCAGGTATAAAAGTCAAAGTCCGATGCTTTTGCTTTTCTGATCTTCATGTCAAGTACTTCAGCTTTTAGAAAATTATGCCAGGTTTTAATTTCCAAGGGAACCTATGTAAAACAAAGAACAATATAAAATGTGAAGTAGACGTGACAGAGTAATGTTGTAAACATTCTGCCGAGCCAGGATCCTCTTTTCCTTACTTGATTTTGTAAATTTCAGGTTTTATAGAACCAGCTTGTTTTTCCACTTCTGTGTTTCTCTCCTGTCCCTTTAGCAATCTGTCTCCAGCAGGACAGTGCAGGCAGTTTCCTTGCATGTGCTAAGGACTCTCTGACTAGGTTTAAACCAAACAAATCTAAGAACCTGAGGCCAAGGGCATGACACTGCCCATGTCCTTGTATCTCAGCTTTCTTCCTCCCAGCACAAACTGGTGATGCCCAAACTGCCATTTGGGAGCAGTCTCAAGCACAGCTGTCCCCAGCACTGTCCCTGAGAAGTCTCTGGGGGCTGCTGGTTGGCAGGAGCCAGCACTATGCCAGGGAGAGTGCTAACAGACTGTGTCTATAGTCATGTCCCAGTGCTTCAGCCAGGCCTATGTCCTGGAATAAATGAAGCTCAAATGCCCCTGCAAAAAAGATGAAGGAAAAGAAAACTGGTTCTCACTTTTCTTCTTTTGAGTGAGTTTAAATTACAAAGGAAGAAAAGTCATTAGAGCAGATCTCTTTCCTACTGAAATGCCAGGTTAGGGAACAGGGCTGGAGTCTCTGATGCATGCAATTCACCCCTGAGGCAGGAGGAAACCTTCTTTTCATTTTCTGACTGTAGTTTCGGTCCCTGGATGGCCTAACCCTTGACATAGCTTACAGAAGCTAGGAAGCTGCTCTGCTTTCTGCTGCAAGCTGCTGTGATAGCCCAGAGTCTGGTAGAGCAGCTCTTTCATGCCTCTATACCATAAGGGATTGTCCTGGAAGCAAGAGAATCCTTGGCTGCCCTTCTGGGTCACTTTTTCCCTGCTGTGTCTCAGTAGTGGAGGATAAGCAGAGGGCAGCAGGCTCAGCTGCTGGGTTTTTTCTCATATGACAAAGTGAGGGGTGGATGGGAAGACTAGAGAAGGTTACTTTGTAAAATATCACTAAGCCATTAAACTGTGTATTCACTAAAGAGTGAGACCTTTATATTAGCTAAACACCTTGTTTTGTGTGACAGGAGGAAAAGTATTGCTTACATTAAAATTTTATTTTATCCTGAAAGCTGTCAGCCACAAATTTTGAGGTGTGGTCAGGGAATAACATGATCATCTTTCTTATGCAAGGGATGTCATGTGTGATAATCAAAAGGTTCCCATCTTACGTTAAAGATCAAGCTCTGGGAGCACATGAAAATGAATTCCTTGGTCCCAGTGGCTTGAATCAGAATACCAGAGGTATGTACCTAAATTCTGGAAAATAAGGAGAGCATGGAGCTATTCTGAGTGAGGCAAGAGGAAGTACTAAACACAGGAGTAGACTCTCTAGAGTTCAAGTACTTCTCTCTGTAAAGCAGCCACATGGAATCCCATCTTGAGGGTGTACATGATCAAGCTTTACTCTTTCACAAGACAATGGTAGCAGTAACTAGCACTTGCTCAAAAAGGAGATTTGGGAGATTCAGACATAAAGACAGGTGTCCTGACTGTGGTGGTAAGGTATTCTGAGTGCAGAATAACAGCAGGGACTGTGCCACTGTGTGACTGGGAACGTGGGAGTCTCGCTGCCAGAAGGAGAATCCAGGCTGCTGGAGATATCACTTAGTGCTGTCTCTAAATCGCTGCAGAGCAGAAGATGGAGCTGCAGATACAAGAGTACCTACACTTGTTTACACTTGAGAAACATTGCAGTACAAATGCAGGCACTGTATGGGTTTAGGCATCTCCCAGGTTGGGTAATTGCTGCCAGCATCAGCTTTTTTGATCACTTTATTGAACTTAGACACTTATGTTCTACCTAAGTAAAATTATTTTTCAGTCTTCGTTTGCTTTTGCCCAAAATAAATTAACTTGCAGCTCCACAGGGTTTGATTTTCTAATCCAGCCATGCTTAATCATTGATGTAAAACAAGATTTTTTTCTCCCCTCAGATTCTTTTCTAATGGCTTATTTTTTGCCCTCTAAGTGTGTGCCTGAATTCTCTGCATCTATTTATAAGGGCTTCCCCTCTTCCAGGAGCGTTTAATCAAAGAGAAGGCTATCAGTAGGTGGTTAGCATCGAATGTCAGCAGCTACTTTATTTCTGATATGTCTTGGAAAAAATGTTTCATTACCATGCAAATGATGTTAGTCTTCCTTTCCAAGATCCATTGTCACACGGTGTAACATACAGTACACAGAATTGTGCTCCCAAGATTTATGCGGCAACTAAATTTCGTAGCAAAACAACAATTGTGAGAGCTAAGCCATCAGATGACAGTCACCACTGCTTCCCATATATCTGATTATTTCTCTATCCCATGGTGGCAAATCTAACTTTTGGGGGGGCTTATTTCTGCTTTCTTTTAAACCCTTCCATTTTCCTTTAGCTTGTATCAGAAATATCATGGTGCCTTTCACAGCCTATGCCAGACAGAATAGCCCAGCAGCTTTAATGGGTGCTATCATCTTTCTTGAGTATGTCTGGGAAGCAAATTATCCACTTGATACTTGAAGTGGCAATGTCTTGAACTACACAAAGAAAATTGAAGCTGCTGGCCTCTCTTGGGAATTTTTGAAAATGCCAATAATGGTAGTAGGAACTCAACTTTTCCAAGGGTTCTGAAACCCTGTAAGCAAAATCAGATAAACCTGTTAGGGGTTTGATTCATCAGAGCACTGGAGTACAGTTCAGTGACTTCAGCAGGGCTTCAGGATGTGTTTAGAGTTAAGCATATGTTTGGGTGAATTGTTAACCTCAAGTGTGTGATCAAGTGCTTTGCTGACTCAGGGACGAGACATTCCTTACAGCTTGTTGTTTTCCACTTTGCCATCTGGGAAGATGCAGCTTGACAGCACGTGGGCTGTGTGAGACATTGCGTTTCTGAAAGGGTATTAACAGCCTTGAAGTTTCCAGGTCCTCTGAATCAGGAATTTTTGTCTCTAAAGATCTAGCTGGGGTGGAACAAACTCACTGTAGTGTTTGAAAGCAAATTGACCATGCCACAGCATTTGCTAGGTTATCAGTCAATCTATGCCTAATTAAAATAATCTTATGTTTTAGTGGGACTACTAATGATGCAGGTGGAAAGCTTTACAGAACCTGCAGGCTTGGGGTGTGAAACTGACCCTTTTCAGATATTTTAGGAAGTCTCTTTAGCACCTGGACAAGTGTAAGAACCCAAATTTGCAAACACTTTTAATTACAGAGTCATGTTTTCACTACACCCATTTTCTGAGCTGGGGAAGCACATCTGTATTTATATGAAATATATTTGTTACAGGCTGTTAAGACAACTCGCCCTCATGCTGCAGCCAGGTAATGCAAAAGAGTGGGTAATACAGGCCTGTTATTGCATTTGTGGGAGAAGTGCAAGATACCTTGATCCCTCAGTATTCTCCAAATGATTTTAACTTCCCCAAAATACTAGGGATTCATCTGAAAAATCTCCCATATCACTCTCCGTCTCATCAGCACACACCCCTCCTTCTCTAATCCAATACCCTTCCAGTCTGCAGTGTAACACTCTTGACCTAAAAGCCTTTTCTGTACTGTTGCACTGCTTTGCACTTTTGATGAATGCTTACAGAAGAATAAATGTTATTGTAACAAAATGCATTTCTCTGTGGGAACTCCTCTTTTTTTTTATTATTTTCCAGTGACAAAATGTTCCCAGCCTTTGGATTTGGAGCAAGGATACCCCCAGAATACAAAGTAGGTGCATAAATGACATTTGTTAGTTTCCTTGGTTTATGAGGCACAAAATAAGGGGGAAATGGTTCAGTGCAGGGCAAGGGTTGTGGGGAACAGTACTACTCCTTGTTTTCTTTCATCTGGCTTTCTCGTCCAGTGATACCTCACTGAAACCAGAACTCGAGGTCAGACTTAAAATAGTTGCGCTACACCCAAAATATTTCATGGCATTGGCAAAGCTTTGTTAATGGATGCTAGTCTAGTAAGAGGAGAACAGTCTAGTAGGAGGAGAATGGAATCTTTGAACAACACCTGCCAAGCACATTTTGAAGCTTTGCGAGCCCTGGTTTGACAGAACCCATTTTTGGAAGATGTGGTTCAGTGAGTGGCCTAGTGTCTATGCTTTATGATGAAGAGATTGAACATCTTCCTGAAAATAAAGACCTTAGAAGAGTTTTGCTCTGTGGCAAATTTCTGTGTCACGGTAGACATCTTCAATACCAGGAAGAGGAATACAAGAGCATATATCCATGCTAGAGAGAAGTAGTATTTATAAACAAAACAAAATGAGAGTGATCCACAGTGATGGCACAATTGTGAGCATAAACATGCAGTCTGGTAGGGCTGAAGTGAAGACAGTGGAGTAAAAGAAGGAGCATCCAACAGAGAAAGACCTAAGAAGGAAGAGGCAGAAGTTCAAATCCTGTATTGCACATGCAGAGGTAGTGTGGGGCAGAAGAGTAGTTCTGCACAAATAAGTAACCAAAAACTAGCTGGGGATTCTGCAACTCAGATACTATCTGGGAAAGAGCAGCACTGGACTTCTGATCATGCAGACTTCATTCAGTATAGTCATGTCCCCTGCTCTGGGTTGCGTCTCTCAGCTGTGGCTGCAGGGAGGTGAACACTGGCCAGGTGAGAATAGTTCTGTGCAGAAAGGGATCGTGTGTCAATCAGCATTATAAAGCATGGATCAGCAGATGAAAAAAATGTACCAGTGTGTTTCTCACAGCTTGTAAGTTTCATACCTGCATAAGAACACAGTAGTGATGTACAGCAAATTCGGTAAGTGTCTTGCAAACAGGTCTCTAAGGTAAGTCAACGTATGTCTTAACAACATTGGCTTCTAGGCTAAAAATCACTGTTATAAAAAACTGGACTGTGCCTGACAAGGTGTTTTACAGTGCTCTGTTCCTGAAAAGTAACACCAGTGTTAATGCTTTCCAAAATCCAAGACGACTTCCAGAGCTTTGATATAGATTTTAATGTGGTAAATGTGCGTGGAACATCTGTGTCTGTTGTATATCTGTTCCAACTGCAGCATCTGACAACCATCTCTGCTATATAAGGGGGAGTGTTTTGGAGAATAAATGTACTGAGCAGCCTCTAGGACCAGACACATTAGGGAACCACAGTAGCTACTTCTCAAATGACCATGCCTTTGCCACAATTATGTGCCCCCTTACCCACGGCTGTATAGCAGTGTTGACTAGGTGAGTTGATCACAACCAGATTGCTCTTTCAAGCCCAGTACTGGCCATCACTGACAGTGCCATGTACTGTTGTGATTGTCCTAAACAAAGGTACCAGCCTGGTGGTGTGCCAGGGGCTGGTTGTTCCATCATCTGTGAGGTGACCATCATTGCATGGGGGAAAACTTGCAATTCCTTCAGCTGCAAAGTCATACATATCTAAGGACTGCTTGAAGGAAGATGTTACTGTGCCAGCTGAAATCTTTTCGCTGGTTTACTGGCGATGGCAGTAGAGCAAAATTCACAGTACAAAACTGCCTCTTTCTCAGCCAAAATAATCAGCTGGTGGCATTGATGCCTCAGGTCAGATGAGCATAGAGGCAACATACCAGTTTTGTTAGTCCCAAGCAACAGCCTCGTTACCTGATTGTAAGAGCATATCTCAGGTGTCAGCTGAAAAACACATGTCTTGGCAGAAGGTGATTTCAGGAGGACTTTGTAACCAGATGTACAATGACGACCATCAACTGATTTTCTGCTTTGGCAGAACTGGTGTTTGGATAATTTCCTGACAAGTACTCTTAAGCAAGTCAGAGGCTTGCATTGAACTTAATAGCCCATGCATGGATGAAGGGTCTTGCCCAATAGCATGAGCTGCCCTGGAGAGTTTGTATGTTACTAACCTCTCGAAGCAAGAAAATGGATTAATCGGGACCTTCAGATTTTGAGAAGTTCAGGAGAAGTAAGGGTAAACTTAAGAAGATGGGGCTACTTGCTTGTGGATTACATATGTGTAAGGACACAAAACAAGTCCCAGAGTAAATGGAGATGCACGTGAGAGCCAGAACAACATCTTTAATCTCCACTATGGAAAATGGTGACAGAAAATGACAAAGACAAAATGACATGACATCAACTCACCAATGTAATAAAACTTTGAAGAAGAGAAGAACCACGTTGCAGGGGGACTAGCCCTCCTGTGCAACAGATGGGGACAAATAATTAGCTTGGTGTCTATCATGTGCACGTCCAACTGGAACTGGATTAGGAATTAACAGTCATCTGTGCTATTGTTCAGCGCCTCCCTGTGATACTCTACACAGTCCACACAAATATCTGTCTTCTTAAAATAAACTGTGTCAACACTTGACTCCCTGCTTGGCTTTGGCTGCACTTCGAAATTGAAAGATACACTCTGTAAGAGAGTAAAGAGTCAGCCTCATCATGATGCATTAATAAGTCAAGACCAATAAATCTGAAAATCCTTCAGTAATTTAGTCAACACTGGTATCATAAAGTTAATTTAAAGCCAGCAATGATTAGTGTTTGATGTGAAACATAGCCAAGATACATAGGAAACAGTGAAGAAACTGATATAATTAAAAGTAACAAAGACTGTAGGAAAAAAGTGCTCCCAAATTGTCTCCCTTAACTTCTTATCTTCTGCTGCAAAAATATGGTAACGCTATAGATACCACAGCAACACTGCAGATCTCATGCTATTCAAATGGTCTTTTGATCCTTTCAGTCGAAGGTATTATAAGTCATACATATCTTTTGTTTTATTAAAGGACAGCAGTGTCATAACTGCAATAATTCACATCTTCAAATTTAGGTTGAATCATTATGAGAACTTCTAAGTTGTGACCCCATCATGTGGATAAATCAGATTTTCATTTTAATCTAGAGTGCCTGCTTTCGAGTCTTCAGTCCTAATGAGATGATCTAATCAGCTCATAGCACATTGGTCTCTGCACACCAGCAGCTGCTCTTTTATTTCTTCCAGTAGACAACAAATTGCTAGGGCTGTGGAAGAAATGACTCCCACTGCCAAGGGTTTGTAAGTACCATGAGAGCCTCCACACAACTGAAATAACATAGCTCCCTTAAAAGTCTAAATGAAAGCTGACCAATGTATGCATGGCAATAACACAGTGAGGGAAGGCCATAGGTAAGCAGCCTGATAAAAAACAGTGGGCAAAGTAAATGGATCCAGTGGATTCAGGTCTAATTTATGTCATGCTTGGTCACAATCTGTAGAAAAATGAGGCCTGTAACTCACTATTCAGCATGAATCAATGGTAACATGTCTTCACTTAATGATCAGTTGCTATTTAGGACCAGCTGAAGGCTGCTGCTTTCAGGCTGGCCACAAGGTCTAAAGTTTTTTGCCAAGGTTTCCTTGGTGCACTAGACCACATGGGAGAAAGGTGTCCATTTGTTACATCAAACCAGTGCCTTGGTTTCATACTGACTTCAGCTCCTGCCAGTAGCCTGGGATGGGTGCTGGAGGGCAGTATCCACCTGTCTGTTTAGTAAGATTCCAGTGTCCTCACATCCTTCTACATGCTACATGAAAAGAAATATTTGCTATGCCAGCTATTATTCCCCATGGAAAAAAACCCACCCCCCCTTTACATTAGCACTTCAGAACAATGCCAGTATCCACCTCTGCAGGCTCTTCATTAATTTCTTGAGGGTGAACCCCTTTAAAAACATGGTTTTATATATGCTTTCTACAGAATTTCCATTTCAAGAGCACACCGCTATGTTACACTGACTTTATTTTCCCTCATTGCGGCTCCAAATGAAACACTAGAGCTGTTAGCAGAAAAACAACAGTTTCTTAGTGGCATAAGGAATCTGTGGGAGTGAAGGAAGCAAGACATGCCATATATAACATTCCTCATCAGTCTAGAAATCTTTCATGCAATATTCGGCAATATGGTCGTTTTTCCCCGCAGCCTGACAAATACATCACCCTGCTCCTTGATCTAAATAAACCTCTGAGAGCAATATTCCCCACTTGAGTTCCTAGCATACGAAACTTTCAGAACTTGCCAGTTATTCCACAGCAGTGTCTCCAACCCATCACATTTTTTTTCAACGAGAAGAACTATCTGAAAAGTCTGATGTAAAGTGAAGAGGTGGCAGATAATATGGACTCAGACACTGCTGCAAAAGGTCACAGTGAAGAGGAGGAAAGAAAGCTGAACCACACACACTAATTTCTTAGCAGGCAGAGCTCAAAGGAGCTGAAAAACCACACAGCAGCACAAAACTTACTGTGAAAATGAAAAGAAAGTTAGAATTGTGTCAGCCCCATGACAGGTGTATTGTCAATAATGAAGTGTTCTTTCCTAAAGAAGAATTGCAGACTGACACCTGAATAGGTACGAAACAACTTGCAGTTTGTTTTAAGACAGTCCTGGTTATTTCTACATTTTTAATGAAAGCTTCATTCACTGGTGCTAGAGAGAACCTCACTGCAGTTACAGAAACAGTACAGCATCTTTACGACCCTAACTTGCACTGTCTGATTTGCTGGACAGGTAAGGAAGTTGAAAAATGCTGTGGTCTTTGTGATTCCCACACTTTGCAGGAGCTTGAGGGCAAAAATATATGCAAATCTGACAAAAAAGAACCAACACAACGATGTGTAACAGACCAAGGGATAAAACAGAATTTGTCACCTTATCCATACAACCTGGATTTAAACATGGAAACTGGGCAGCATGCTCAAAAATCAAGTACAAAGGAAAATAAATGGCAAAGCAGAAATGTCTACAATGTGGTCTTAGCCAGAGACACAAGCTGTCCAGCTCCCAAACTGTTTGATTAATGAGCATTCTGAAAATAATAGCTTTTGAGCAATCGTTCTTTACATTTGTTAGTGTCTTAAGCTTTTGGAAAACATGAAGGCATTCCATATTTAATTTTCAGACTGCCAATGGCTTAATAGTGTTCAATTTATTCACAGGTAAGTGCTCAACATTGTGCATCTCAGCATTTAAGCTTGTATGCATCTATTGTTCATGGATTTTTGACAATGTCTATTTAAATTAGTAAGAAAGCTTTCCTAAATATGGCTGAATTTGTCAGATTGTTTGTCAAGTAGTCCCAGTACTATCATCATAGAGGCTTCTGGAAAGCAGGAGCTATTTGGGACAGGGAGGTTAATTTAAATCAGTTCAACAATCTAGAGAGGGAAAAGAAAGACTACAACTTTGCAGGATTGAGGCATTCACATTCAGCATTTGCAAAATTAATGAAAAACATGGTTTCTGAGCCAAAGCAGCTTTTTATTTAAAAAATGGAAGTTCAGTTAGAGTAAAAAGGGTTTAAAAAAATGCAGAGGACAAAATAGAATAACATGTTTCGATGTAACTTAAGTAAAATGTTCCCAGGCAATGGAGGCACTGTACAGTGGTAAAAAAAAAATACTATAATCTGCCTTAGCAAAAATATTTTAGACTGTTTATTTAGTTGATATATCTGCAGAAATGCTGTCGTCATAATCTACGTCATGCTGTATGGTAGAGCTACTTATTTTGTTCGTTAAAAACCTTGAAGAAATTACCTGAGAAATAATATGTTTCTGGTGCAGGAAGTTCCTGGACAGCTGTGTTTTAATAATCCCATATGCATGATGGTATCTGCTAAATAATTTATTTGGAGTCCTGCAGAGGGAAAAGATTAATGCATAGCCAAGTGCAAGTAAATGTCCTTAGTTAGAAGCTTTGAGTGGTGTTTTGTGCAGCAACCCAGGTAATGCCAGGCTCATCACATGTAATCACCTCTGCACTCCAGAATTTCTCTCTCCTTTCCTTTTATGGATTGATTTTATGGATTGATGTTAAGAGAGAGGAGGAGGGCTGAGCAGAGGGTCAGCTGCATGTTCAAAACATAATCCAGGATCCGTGACACAATCACAGTTCTGTGAGGACATTCCTTATCGTGAGGCTGACTTCCATCACAGACCATGGTCTGCAGTTCTTTGCAAAGTTCTCTGTCCAAGGTACTAATGTAAAGCAGTTATTCTGTGTTGGCATGGCTTGACATATTCCAGGTTTCCTGACTGCTAGGAAATGTTTGTCTTACAAACCCCCCTACTAGATTATATAAACATGCTTGCTTCTGAACAGCCAAATGTCTTCTTGTTTCCCCTGAGGACTTCCCAGTCTTCGGTATTTTTAGATGTTCACAATTATGCTTCCTTTTCCCCATTAGTTTATCAGTTCTGGGAGTGCATGAGGGCTGTGTCATTCAATATCAGAAAGATGCCAGATTTTGATCCTCTGTCATCAGCATGGTTTGCCTTTCAGTCACAAAAGCCCTTGCATGTTTAATTAAAAAAAAAAAAGAGGATGGAGTCTCATTACCTTGCACTGTTTTGAAAACAAAAGTATTGAATGTTTGATCCAAACCACCTTTTGACATGGGTGGGCTTTACGTGGAGTCCTGTCAGGTAGCAGCCCAAGTTCAGTAAGACCTTTAGTACATGTCACGTGCCTGAAGTCTCTGCTGGTTTGGACCATCTTGAATTCTGGCCACCGCCAGGGAGACAGCACAGGGGCAGGTTGAAGCACAGCTGATTTTACTTACCTGAGTGGGGAGTGAGTCCTGAGTATTTGGAGAAACTCTGCTTTAAAAATATCAGGTGATGCTTTGTGGTTTGTGAACTGTCACTGAGCTGCTCAAAGAACTTCTCTCCTTCACATTATATTTAAATCTTGTTTAAATTGTGATATATTCTTCAGAGACCATAGGAAACAACCCAATACTTCTGCACATTCATTGTTTTTCCTGTCCTGCCTTCAGGATACATTTTAACACACTTCTTGGTGAATCAGGATGACAGTGTATGACGGCCAATTGCTTTGGGAGGACAGCAGCCCTTGCTCAGACAGTATTATTTTTTTGATCATTGTGCACACCTACTAGACTTGGGCTTTCCTTATTGGCCTGAACTGTTGTCTACATTTTTCTTAAATAATAGCCTGGGTGCCATAGCTCTGAACCAGAAAAACTGTTTGCATAGTGTGATCCTGCAAAAGGTATAGCAACAAAAGCATCCAGCCCATGCTTGCATGTGGAATTAAAATACTGTATTCATAGCTGTGGAAAAGAATTGTGATACTCCTTTAGCTATAGTTTCAAATGAATTTGGAATAAAGAAATAAAATCACTGAAGAGGCACAGTGTTGGAAGAATCAGCCTGCAATACATAAACATGCATCACCATCCTTCTTGCTTTTGATATGCAGTTAGTACAAAATACAGAAAGCCTAAAGGAAGAAGAAAGGCTATTTAACAACAAAAAAATCATCAGTGAGTGAAAACACATAACCGTTCTTGACAGCTGCAATTACCTTTGGCCTGCAGCTGGTCATGAGACTGGTAGATACCAGCTGGGCAAAGTGTGCCAAGAGACGTACAGAGCAGCCGGACAGAAGAGCTCTGGAGCACCTCTGAAGCATATCTGACAGCCCTGCGCTTCTGTGCCTGCTCAGCAAGGAACATACATCGTGACTTTCAGCATTATCTTCCATGGCTGAGTGAGGTAGCCTGAATGGCCCACATAAAACCCTTTGTAAGAGGCAATTGATGCTTGGTGCAGACATAGCAAACTCCTGGCTGGGCTGAGCTGGCTGCAGACTCTTCAGTGAGTTTTTGCTTCAGTCCTTTCCTATCATGGTAGAAGTCCTGCTTTATTTAACCTCTTAATAAGTAATGGTAGGCATCACTGTGGTGAGCAAGGCCAGCATATGATGGGGAAATTGGATTTCTCTAGGAGAAGTTCTCTTTGTCAGTAATTAGCCAACTTACACCACTTCGCTTTTACAGAACCTCCTCTGTAATCATGTATTTGATCTATTGGTCTATTAGTCATAGACCAATTTCTGTGCTGTGCTGTGAAGTCATCTAAACTAGCAAATGAAACAGCGATACCCAACAAATAAATCTCTTTGTGCAAATAATCCAGGTTCTATTGTACAGGGAGTAAACAGGTTGCTTTCCATATGACTAGGACAGTTGGCACTTCTGAAGGTCCTACAGAGATTTATAAAGTGTCAAAGGTGTGTAATTGGAGTTGGCTATATAAACGCCTTCATGCATCTGGGATGATATACCTAAATTCAACTTTAAATTATGCAAATCACCTGCTTAACTCTCAGCCATATCCACTTTTATGCAAACCTATATATATATATATGTATGTTGTCCATTGCAAGACAAAAGTTGGGCTTCACTCAAGACAACTGAAGACAAACAGGAGAATTTAGAGACTGAGCTTCAGAGCTGACAAGATTAAAAGGAATCAAGCCTTCTCAGTGATCAAAGAAAGGAGTAAAAAGGAATCTGGAAAAAATAAAGGCAAGAACAAACCTTAAAACCAGGAAAGAACATCTGCAGAAAGGTTCAGTCCCAATAGATTTGTGCTGTGGATGCAGATCTCTAAGTGACAGACAGGTAGAAGAAGCCTGGAACCTGAGGCTTGCACTGCCTTGTATTATCTTCCCAAGCCACTAAAGATACAATACATTGTTTTACTAGAAAATCAGCAACATTTTTGTATTCACAGTCATTTCACTTAGAAAATAGCTCTGTGGTATTTTATTACCAACAGATTGAGAGAGAGGGAGAGAGAGAATGGGATATTCACTGAATTTGAGGGAAAACCAGAGTCTTCAGGTTTTTTCTTATTAATGTCCCCCCAGCCTAATCTAATTTCTTAACCAGCTTAGACTCCTTACATTTCTTACATTATTCCACAGTGGGTCTGGGTGACTTCCTTGATCTCTTTGGAGAATAAATTATTTTCCCAGTAATCCCATGGCCTTCAGATGAGGAACTGTTCACCCATGGGAATGCAGGATTCAGAAGGGGGCTAAGCTTGTGCTGTCAGTGCTGTATCACAACCTGCTTTCTCTTTCCTGCAATGTGAGATGCTGAGCTAGGGAGACCTGGCATTTAAATCTCCTCAGCAATAGATCCCTTTTCTGTGGCTGGCATTGATAGCCCAATCCTGACACCGTATTTACGTGATTTCTCATGCACTTCGGTATTTTTTCTTTGTGCTATTTTTTCTTGGGTTTGTTGTTGTTATTGACAAGTTTGATTCCAGGTTTGTTACTTTGTTTCTGCAGGGAGTTCCAGCTGGGACTGTGTTTCACACTTAATGGCTGAAAGCTTGAAAGATCTCTGGTTTAACACGGAAAGAATGTAAAGGGTGTTTAACCACAAGTCCTCTTGGAATAATTTTTCTGACTACAGTCTTCTTCCCTTCTTTCCATTTATCTGCAGGTCTCTCATGATTTCGCAATCAATTTCAATGAAGACAACCCAGAATGTGCAGGTAACACTCACATAGGACAGACTGCCGTATCTCTGCTGTGTGCAAAATGTGCTTGTATTTTTTATTGTATTCCCTGAGTATTCTTTATAGTGTTTTTTAAAGAAAGCAGCTAGGAGTTTCAAAACCTGACAGACTCCAAGCCATCAGGCTTAGCTTTAGAAACCTTAGAAAGTGCCACGCATTAATTTCCTGAAAAAAATAGGTCCCTTTGAAAGTACATGTTGGACATTCAGCACTTGAACTTCTCCAAATCACTAGCATTTCTGAAAACTAAAGCTGTGTTTTGTAGATTCATTCCAGATCTTCAGCTACAGCAACATCATAAGTTGGGCGGCTAAGAAGGGCAGGACATGCAAAAGCAGGCTGTGCACCTCTGTGATCAAAGACTCCTTCTGTGTAGAGCCAGTTCTTTGGCCAGACCTATAGGAACAGTAGCCTGCTGCAAGTCAGCCCAGCGATGTCCAGCACCAAAGGGTCAGGGCAGCAGCTGAGAACTGCTGAGAACTTCATAACAGAAGTCATGAATACCTTCATGACAGTGAATGCAGCAAGAGGCTGTTTTAACACAGCATAAAATATTGGTGTGTTCTAGCAACAATTGCTCATCCTTGGTATTCAGAGGCCAGATTCATGTAGCAGATTTTGCTGTATGTCTTGTATTTGTAAGTGAGGTCTGCAGTGACTGATGCTGTCTTTCTAGAATCTCCCGCCAAAATTCACATATTTTGTAAAAGATGAGAGTAACAGGACAATAATCTCTAAACAGTCTAAAAAGTAATCCCACGCTAACACTTCATTTGAGAGTCTTGGTCAGATGATCATTGCTGTCTAAAATCCACAGGTTGTTATTCTTCTGCTACCTTCCAAACACTGAAATGGGTGTTTCAAAATGCTCTCCCTGTTCATATTTTCTAGCTGCTCCTTTCAGCCCTTCTCAGGCTTATTAGTTCAGGCATGGTCAGCAGGGTATGTTCAGGATGAGAATTAAGAGTTCAAGAAATGAAGTGAGGAAAAGAAGAGGGGACAAGCAATTCAAGGGAAAGA